CGGGACAGAGATTTTCTTCTGTACTTTGCATCTTGTTTTAATGGAGGGACTGATACAAGATTGGGCTTTAATGTCGTGTTCCTTGTCTCTGCATTCACCCGGGTTTGTCTTCAGTGCGCCGTTTCCAAGGGGCCGTGAAGAAAGAAGTTGTTACGTCAAAATATTACGTTAAAACCGAAGAAATAATGTGGCTTCCATTTTTGTTATGTCACTCCGGCTTACATGGCCCTGGCAGGAGAGAAAATAGCTCAAAACCATCATATCTTTTACTACTATGTATATTTTTTTTCCTCAGGATGGTAAAGACAGAGATGCCCCTGTGCTTAAGCACCACGCAATGGTAGTGTGCAGAGGGAGATGAGGTGAACCTCCACGCATTCTTAATCTCGTTACTAGATAAAAGGGTTTCATTCCACTGCGACTCTACTTCCATTGGATAGGATGGATGGGCTGCAGAGGCGGTTTAGTTTTGGTGGCGAAGAAAGGAATTTATCTCTCTAGGAATTGAACCCCAACGCTATCTCTCAAGTTAAGAACACATTTGGGCAGGAACCGAATAAATCATCGTCATCAAGCCGTCCTCACATCTACAGTGCTATACAGCAGATCCATTGCCGTCAAATGTGATAAACTCCGTAGTTTTAGTCCGCAAGTGAACTATACCGACCGAGCTACCGACGCTTGTCGGCGAAGTTAGTGCCAACTTTTGCGGATAGAGGGTGTTCTGTGGTGCAACGAATCCCGACGGCCGTCATTTCGGTTTTCTAGGCCGCAACCTCCATTTCCTGGAAATAGCCCCTCATTTATCCTCACGAGGCTGAGTGGACCCCGTTCCAGACCCACTACTTCTCAGAAAATGTGGTAGCGCCCGGAATCGAACACGGGAGCTCTGGCCAATAGACCACAGAGGCGGTCCAAGTGTTATAATCAGAGAGTTAAATGTTGTAATGGCACTGCTTCCTGACCCGTTCGTATCTCACTTGTGTTTGCAACGGGAAGCATGGGCATGCATTTTTGGGGGTCTATCTCTTTGAATTTTGTCAGTTTGGACGATCCATTTTGTAGTGTAACCGACCTAACAGTGAGAGCAGAATCGTAAAGCTAGTGCAGCTGATTGGGCAGGATCATGAAGTAGCTCCGTCCATCTTCAGAGCCTGGGTCCTCTCATCGCCTGCTTGGTTTTGTAGGGAACACAGATCGAGATGCTTACCACCAGAACTATGTATGCGCGCGCATTCTTTGTTTCCCTTTCCTATCCACATTTCCAGCCCATCATAGTCTAAGAGATTTCACTGTGCTAACATCATTGGGCGATCGCTATAAATCACAAATTTTCCCTTGGATTTGAGAATCTCACACCGGTTCGTATGAAGAATTCTGGATTTTTGTGGATACGACTCCGTGTTTTTGGGTGGAAGGCAACCGGTATTTCGGGCGCACGGGGTTTGCTTTGTTTGCTGCCTGCCTCGTTCCGGTTTCGGTTCGCTCAGATATGAAGATGGAGTCGATATGTTTCGCAGGCTACGTGACCTTATATCCCAAAAGATAGAGCTCTTCGCTAATTTATCATTATTCATTATTGCTCATGTACTCCGTCTTGGGCTGATGTGTCTATTTTCAAACATATTTATCGGTTTCGTTCTTCCCGAGAGCAAAGGATCACCTTTCACATCCTTACAAAATAACAGGACAAGCTGTTGCTTTTTACGCTTCAATACTAGCCTGAATGGGACCGTCTACACAACTATAATATCTGCATACTGAGATATCAGCATTTGTTTTTACTATTATTTAGTATACACAGGTGTTGCGCTATATTATTCGACCTTTACTAGGTCATCATCAGGCCAGTCACGAGAATATATGGATCCATATTTTACAATTTGAGTTTGTTTTTAACATTGAGTACACCTTTGTAAAATGTAACCTACCGATACACCCGAAAACTCTTGTAATATATGTTATTATCTAAGTTTAAGATTGCTTAAAAACTGTAAAAAAAATGAAAAAGGTAAAGCTGTCCCTATAACAGGCTGTAAAGGTCCATAAGGGTGTGAGAGGTCGACGCTCCCACGTCATCTAGACAATCTGTTCACAGATGGCGATGAGGTCAGCCTTACGCGCCGGCCCCCTTTACTCCCCATGAATCTTCCCGGTACTAATTTTTTTAGAGGATGAGTCGACCTCAGGGCCCTGTTGCGGCTGGAAGAATTAGATCAAATGAAAGAATCCAGTGACCTCATCGGGAATCGAACCCGCGACCTTTCTGCCTGTAGCATAGTACCTCAACCAAGTACGCTAACGCTTGCCCCTTAAGATTGTTTAATACTAATATATATTGTAATTTTTATTTATATAAATTAATAACTATATTAATTAATTTGCCCTTGAAATAAAAATTTTAAAGTTTTCAAAATATCTTTATATAAATCCCATCTCTGGTTTCATTCTAGATAGTCTTAAAATTGAGCGTAGGACTAGAAATAGTTTTTTAGTGTCATCTTATGATCGTTGTTCGTTCATAAATCATAGAAGTCATCCACTGATGATATTCTGACAGGCCCTGTAGGAGAATGGTGATTGTTTTAATGTTCATCATCTGCGGGTTGGGGTAGGTCAGACGGCCACTGTCTCCTCAGTCTTCTTCCTACATTTGGTGGGTTGCTAATTTCTACAATTAGTCTGTTATTGTGTCCGAGTATGCTTTGATGGTAGAGTGTTGGCAATCTGTGTATTCTATGATAAATGGGATTTGCAGATCATTGTGGGTAGTAAAGTAGGAGACAAATCAAGGTGCTTTATTTACTGAGCTCAAAAATTTAGATTGAAGTCTTTGAATTATTTTCTTATTGTTGGTTTTCTACAGCCCCATAGCTGTGTACCCTATGTCCATATGGGTTTTATTATGCACTTATATAAGTAGAAGTTTGTTTTCTACGGATTACTTGGATTTACGGTCCAAAAGCCAGGACATTTATCGTAGTTTTAAATAGAGCTGAAAATATGCGTGTTTTTCCAGATTCGCCACCGGTAAGAAGTAACGACTTTCCAGTGTCATTTTCGTTTGTATTATTGTGATTTTCGAGCTTTAAAATTTTTGAAATTTTACTTTTTAACGTTACATGTCTTTTGATATTCTTGTTTTGCACTTAAACAAAGACGGGAAGAAATAGAAGAGAGCATGTTCTGTCCTTTGTATCATTTTTCAATCACATGAGGGTGCTCCTTTACGAGTTCATTGTGCTCGTGTGGTGGGGACTTTGCGCCCTGAATGTGCATCAACCCGAATGGTCGAAGTGTTCTTCGTCCTCCTCCACATACAGCTCATGTCGTCTTCAAATTGAGTCCCTGGCTGTAACTAGCTGTCTGGGGAGATTCCTCCCAGTGTCTGCAGCAGCCACCTCATTGCCGTTAATTCGCTCGTCACCATCCCGGTCGTCCGTGGCACAGACATGCAATTCAGCCATCCCCACAAATAAACACAAGAGGGTGGGGCGTAATCGGACCGGGAGAACATGGAAACCAGGCGATCGGACCTCCATGCCCATTCCACCTGCCTGGAAAGCTGTCTAGCCAGTTTCGCACTCGACTTAAAAAATTGGGAGGGACGCCGTTGTACTAAAGCCACGTGCTTTTGTTTACATGTAGCGGTATGTCCTCTAATTAGAGTGCAAGTAGTGCGCGCCACGGAGACGATCCTGTATTGCTTTCGGTCCGATTGCGGCTCAAACGCTGACTCTGAAGGTTCGCCCACACAGAGCGCTACGTACGCTATGTTCGCTATACGAACAGAAAAATATCTCCCTTTATTGCCAATGTGACTGGCCGCAGAGATTTCCGTACGCTACGTACGCTATGTTCCTTATGTTAGCTGCGTCGCAAAGTGTACACAGCGTACGTAGCGTATGTAGCGAGCATAGCGTAGCGCTCTGTGTGGCCGAACCTTAAGTCTCTGTTGGAATGAGGAGGGACGTAGTGCCCATACATGCTAGTTGTGTCGATTGTGTCTTGTGCACATGTACCTGCACTTCCGTGCACAAAAATCGAGGAATATGCACAGTCCTGTAGACCACCTGTCGTCAGAAGTGCAGACTGAGCTCTGAGTTCCGCACATTACGGCCGAGAATACCTGTTTCCGGTGCAGCGATGGAATCTCTATCGCAGAAACCGGCACTGTTATCCGAGCATTGTATTAGAGCTGTGAATCGCCCTGCATTTTGCGGCAGTTCTTAGCTGCGATTGTGTCTTTGGCCTTTATTGTCTAAGATAGTTTTATGCTAAAAATAATGTGGCTTGTAGACCCGTTGTTGGGCATCGACCGCGAGATTAGTAAATATACAACAGCCGTTACTAAGTAACGGCTCTGCAAACAAGCATATTTCCGCTCCAACAGTAGGATAAGAGCGCCACTAAGTCCACCACTAATCCCACTTTACCAGACCCGGGATCGAACCCGGGCCGCCGCGGTGGGAAGCCACCGACTAACCGCGTTAGCTATGGCGCAACCCTACTGTTACCTGACTATTATTGTTTTAAAAATACGAAAATAAGTGAGTGGTATTCGAGACGGGCCTTTCTCTAAGATCACTAAATTAAGTTATTTCTTAAATTCTGCACCGTGAAGCTTGATTTAAAACGCAAAAATATATACCCTGTTTTAAAATGGTACTTTAACGGAGCGGGGATAGCGCAGTCGGTATAGCGACTGGCTATGGGCTGGACGACCGAGGGGTCGGGGAGTTCAGGTCCCTGTAGGGTCAAGAATTTTCTCCAAATCGTCCAGACCGGCTGTAGGGTTCACCCCATCTCCTGTTCAATTAGTACCGGGGGTAAAATGACCGGGGCCTGAAGCTGACCACTCACCTCCAGCTGGTGCCGACGTCAGGAACATGTGGATCTATACATCCACTCCCCCATACTTTTTCATTGCGTAGTTCTTAACTAGTTAAGCACAGAGAACCTTAATCTTATGCTAAAGGTCTGTATTGTTTTGTTTGCAGAGCCTGGACCCGACGGACGCAGCGGATGTCGTAGGAACTCAGCACTGGGTAAGTACTCGTCAGATCTTGCAGGCCGTGCCAGTGGTCGTGTACAGCAGTCCTTCGCCAATCGCGGTCGGCATGACCAAGATTAGGAGAACCGCAGCCGCTGCTAACACTCACCAGAACCCAATTAAATAGCCTGTTCCTTCACGGAACATAAGAAATGCGTTAACAGCACGTTTACAAATAAATTTGTCGTAGGATATTAAAGAATCGTTAGAAGACCTGGACCACACCGTAGCATAGTTGGTTGAGACACTATGCTACAAACCGAAAGGTCGCGGGTTAGATTCCTGATGAGGTCATTGGATTTTATTTTTCAATTTACCTGAAACCCCCCAGCTGCACTGTGGCTCTGCGGTCGACTCAGGCTCTAACAGAAATGAGTACCAGGAATATTCCTTGAGGGTAAAGGGCTGCCGGCGCTTAAGGCTGACAGCGTTACCGCCATCTATGAGCTGATTGTCTGGAAGATGTGGGAACCTCGACTTCTCACAAGTCTGTGGTCCTCCACAGTCTGTTACAGGGATAGCATTACTAAAAGACGCACCTCAGTGGTCATCAGAAAGAAAGATAACCGTGTCGGATACTATTATAGCCCTGTGCCTAGCAAATGCCGTTTCTCTAATGCTTAATTCTCCGATTTTACGTGTCTAAATAAGTTTGGAACCTCGGATATATAAAATGAAATAATGTGTTTGGCAGAACTGGATCCAAATTGAAAACCGCGGCTGGAGAGAATTGCTGTAGGATATTGGCATTTGCACCGACAGTATATTTCCGGGTTCGGGTTATTCGTTTAGTTGAATTGAGATTCTCTGGAGAGAAATTGGACGTCTAGATACAAATAAAAAAATCGCAATTTTTAAGTTAATGTAGCATTTTGCACGATGAACAGATGAAATCTTTCGTAAGTCTTAAGCTTTTGTGTCTTCACTTCGGCATAGTGATGTTCTTTATTTACGGATGGCCGGGGAAGCCGGTGAGACTGTACATTGTCGTCTGCATGCAAGTGTGAACACTTCTTTCATATCTGATGCCAATGTTACGCCACACTTCGGTTTCGAATATTTGGTACTTATAAAGCATCAAGCCGTTTCTTAAGTTGTTATACTCCATTATTAGTTCCCTAAACAGTTCTGTCCATTATCGGAAAGGGGGCAGCCCATGTGGCAGATTCATGCAGCTTGTCAGGGTTAGAGGATTTGCACCCGGAGATTCTCATGGACGACGTGCTTCTTCTCCGTGACAACGCCAGGCCTCATGTGGCAAACAGGACCGCCGCCCGACTGCAGTCATTCGGATAGGAGATTATGGAGCATGCACCGTATAGTCCAGACCTCGCCCCCAGTGATTACCTCGTGTTCGGTCCACCGAAGAAGTTCCTGGCAGGCCAGAGGTTCATTTCCGACGAAGATGCGAAAACCGCTGTCCCGTGGTGGTTCTGCGCTCAACCGGCCGAATTCTACAACAGCGGCATCTCCAAACTAGTGGTGCGATGGGACGAATGCCTGAACCGGGGTGGTGACTGTGTGAAAGAATAGTCAAAGGTGCTTAGAACACTGCCTGTATTTTGATTTCCCTGTATGTGTATTATTGTGGGTGAAAGGAAATAGGGGCAAAGATTTTCGATTTGCCCTCGTACATTCAGCTCGGGACTACAGGCGATACAGCGCAATTGCTGATCTACATATTTCACAGTTCACCATCACATACCCACTAGGGTTCTCAGTCTTCACTAGTCGTATCCTGGCAACGGATTTATAACAGCCTGTCACTTCAAATCACTCACGGAGTCTAGTTTGCCCCACCTATTTCCTTTCTTGCCATTTTTCTGCAACTGCCAATTCCGAAGACTCGACTCAATTCTTCTCAGCTGGACTCTTCTTTATAACCTCTTTGCACTGACCACGCAGAGAACACAGCCTCTCTAGTATTGGGAATGCGTGTTTATAGCGCCGTTGCATAGCAACCGAAGTTACTCAATTGTTGCTTGCGTATTCATTGCAGCGGCAATGTGTTTACCTAGTCGTTGCCTAGCAATAAACGTCTATTCGGACTTATTCTGCGTTTGTACTGCCGTGTTTACATTTCCTTCCTGGCCTGCTGTGAACATGCTCATTGAAATAGTATTGATGAATGCCAAGTTTCTTATAGATGTAAATTTAAATTCAAACATTGTTACTTGCCGGCTGACCGAAGACATTTGGGTTTAGGACCATAATTTTCTTTCCAGTCAGTACTTGTTAAAATAAGTGTCAGACGTGCTTCCAGTGATCATGTGTGGTAAATAGGCATACAAATTGCGTAAGAAAAGTGATTGCAGGTATCCGTGTTAGGAGTTAGATTTCTATGGTGTAACGTTTACACGTCTCCTCAGTGGTTGCCCGCTCAAAACTGAAGAAGTGAGCACGCGCCAGTCTGAGACACGCCTGTATACGATTCTTTATATCGTAACAGATTTCTTCATGCTCACCCGGAGTAGCTTTACCGTACTCCTTATTAACCTATATATCTATATAAAGTTGTCGTAGGAACTCAGGGCCATTAAGAATGACGCGTCTGAATTGTGTAGCCTTTTGAGTTGATGTGTACAGGGACAGACGCTTCAGAAGAACTGTATCTGTGCATACGTTAAAGTCGTATTGAGGGGTAGTAATAATTCTGCCGACAGATGGCTCTGACAGCAGTAACCTCTTGAAACTTCATGAAACCTGTAGTTTGTATTTTTTTTTATCAGTATTGGGCGTTACGGTGTTATGGTTGGACTGGATACGCGGAGCCGTAGTTAGTGTATGTGCGCGTGTGTAATTTTAATCACGTAATTTCACACTAGTGGTGATCGTTGTGGCTTTTGTAGGACTGTTAGTCGCAATAATGAACCTTAGCGCTAGTATCTTCATATCGTTATCCTGACCATTCTTCCGTGTGTATTTTCTGTAATAATAAACCTTTCCATGTAACACCATCGATGTCTTAGTAATCGTGCTTTCCTTTTCCATATCTACAAAACTGAATATGTAATAGCCAATTGTGTTAGATCACGGCACGCGTGTAAGGGTCACAGCGATACAGAAGTTACTGTGAAAATGATCCTTATAATCTGAGAAATTTAATACAGCTGTTGTACAGCTAGATATGGTATGGTATTGCTCCACCACAAGTTGAAAGATTTATCATACAGATGGTATTTCGACCTGTTTTTGCGTAATTATTGATTGCTAAGGAATTCGCGGAGTTGTGTAACATTGTCTGTTTCTGGTATTGTCACGAAGTAGCTTTAAATATGGCGGCGCCATAGCTAAAGCGGTTACTCGCTGGCTTCTCACCGCAGTGGCCCGGGTTCGATCCCGGGTCTGGTCAAGTGGGATTTGTGGTGGACAAAGTGGTGCTGGGGTAGGTTCTCTCCGAGTACTTCGGTTTCCCCTGCCAATCTTCATTCACCAATTGCTCCACAATCACCCTCACCTATCATCTGGGGCTGGTACAATAGGCCAGAAGTGGCCGCAGTACAAGGGGCTTAGTCCCACCCACTAGCAATAAAAACTCGTTAAATATACGAAGAATTATTAGTTTAAATGGTGAGATTACCCAACACCCTTTAACCGAGTAACGATTTCCTTCTCGTAGGAAACTGGTTGAGCCTCAGGCGTGTTGACGTGAGGACAAATTCTGAACGCCTTGAGCTCAGAACTCGTTCAGTCTATTCCCTTTCACCTTATTTTGCATCCAGCGCACAGTGGGGACGTCCGTCCGCATGTTTCATCTCCCATGCTACTCGGCGGTTTAATGACATTTGATGTTGTGTTGCAATTGTGTACAACGAAACATGTTAGTATTACCGTTGTTCATCGTCCAGTATTTTAACAGATAGGAATGACACTTTTGGCTGTTGGTTCTGCTCCCGTCTTCTGGCGTAGGGTGCCAGTTCAGTTGGATCCGACAGAAGGAGGTGATCCAAGTCATTGGAATATCCCCTCCTGCCCGACCGGCTTGTACAGGTACCCACACCTGAGGACAGGACGAGATGCAGCAAGCGAAATGTCATGTTTCTCTTTGTTAGAACGTCGGACGGTGGTCAGAGTCCAAGAAGCCATCATTGGAACTGATTAAGATTGGTTTAAACCACGTTAAATGAATCCATTGTGTGTGCGTACCTGGTCAGTTGTAACTGCACCTAACGTTGAACGCAAATGGAATTTCGGAAAGAGCAAGTTCGTCCTACAGAATGAAATCTGTACATGACGTAACTAGTGTCATTGTTGTGAACTACAACGTTTATCAGATTTTTTTTTTAGCGTGACGAATATTCACATTAAAATTGATGGTTTTCTGTAGGGCGGTGTCTGTTACTAGAAGGATTAGCTGCCAAAGGTGGCTTTTCTTCTGAAGTAAATTAGATCATGAGTGCGGGATCGCAACACGCATTAAATTTTATCCTTATGAGCTTCGTGTTCGGGCTATCTTAACTCTTTAATCTGAGGCAATACTGGATATACTGGCTTCTATTCTGCCCTACTACAGAGACTGTCCCGGGAGTCGAGTGAGGTTATTCCGGTCTCGATGCATCGCGCGTTTGACCTGATGACGCGGTTCCCAGCTCCTTTATTAATTATTCGTCAACCGATCGTGTCTAGCTGAGAGTTGCTAATGGATGCCATTCACTGCCGCCCAGGGCTGCACAACGAGGGCCCTAACAGAAGAGACTCACGTGCCGCTTGACGCAGCTGCACGGAAAGTCCTTTCCCATAATTATTTTACTTTCTTCCGTATTTCGTTGTTCCTATATTAGTTTCCTTCCCTTTCTTCCATTTATTTCGGTCCTTCTGCTTTCATTTTATTTCCTTCGCACTATACTTTCTTCCTTTTTAAAAGCGTTTGCAGCACTGTGGTGCGGTCAACCGGTCTGTCTGTCCGCATAACCGTAGTAACCGTAGGACGAATTTTCGTGACATTTTATATTTGTTACGTTTACGAAAAATACTCGCGCTTCATAAATTTTGATT